GAGGAGTGATTTTGTTCTTTTCCTTCCCTAAAAATTGAATCAAACAAAAGAAATTATAAAATTCTCTCTTCTCCTTTCTATCCCCTCCAACCAAACACTATATAATGTTTTAATTTTTTCTATTTTATCTTTTTTATGATTAAAATTTACCTAAGACTAACTATCTTATGTGAGATTATTATTAGAAGCTTCTCTTTCACAAAAATATTTTTAAATAATTTTCTTTAATAAGAGGACTTTTAAGTATTTTTATAACTATTTTATCTTATTTAATTTTTATTTACCATGTTTATTTAAAATTAAATTTTAATATTTTAAAAAATTAATAATTTTAATAAAAATTGTGATAAAATATAAATTATTTATCATAAATCTAAAATATAATTTATATATTTAAAAATATTTATTTATATAAATTTAAATATTTAAATATAGTATTTATTTTTAGATATGTTTTATCATAAATTTGAGTTATATATAATAAATATTTAACTTGTTTAATGAATAGACTAAAATACTAGTATTTATTAAATTTGTTTTTTTTAAGAAAAGTATGATTTTTTATTCATTTTTCTATTATTTTTAGATTTTTTAATACTATACTTATCTTAATCATTGTACTACCTATATTATTTATTTTATTATTTGAGCATTATACTTCCAAATCTGGATAATCAACTATAATGACAATACTAATTCATAATGGTAATTATCATTTATTTCCTCAGTTTTTTATAGTCGTTTTGGCAGTATTTTTTTATTGTTGTCACTTTTATAAAATCAATGACTTATTATTTTTTTTCTTCTCATTTTTACTCTTGATAATTAATGTATGTTTACTGAACAATATGTATATTTATTTCTAATGTACTATTAAGATTTTTGTACGAGAATTAAGAAAATGATTGATATTTTAGTTTTTAAAAATATTTATTACTTACCTTCCTAATATACTTTTTTTATTTTTATTTTTATTTTTTTGCATTCAAGTCTTGAGACGGTTGATTTGTATACACTTATTATTGTTATGCACATTTTGAAAAGACCATGAATTAATGTATTGATTATTAGAATACACATGTGAATTATAACCTATTCCATTTAATCACATTTGTCAATGAATTAATGCATTAATTATCAAAGTACACATGCGAACAGTAACCTACTCCATTTAATCACACCTTTAAGTAAATTGTGTCTTTTGGGCATCCTAATTTCTGAATGAGTACTGTGGAAAGTAAAAAACATTCATGGATGAATAATATTGCCTCTATCAAGATTGATCTAAAATTTGCTTACCCCCAAAAGATTACTACTTCCCTCCAAAAGATTTGTAATAACTTCACTATATATATCTCATTTGAAGCTCAAGAAAATTACATCTCCACTAACATGGATTCAAATAAAATTTCAGATTTGAATATTGAGTTCACACAATTAGAAATGGATAGTGAAGATGGTCAACAAAATTGTGCAAGAGAAATTCTCCCTTTTTTTTTTTTTTTAAATTTCGTTAGAAACATATTGCCCTCATAAATGCAACATTAACTTTATATAGGTGGTTGGAGAAAAAATAGGTAGATATTAAAAATAAATAAATACATTATTCAGTAACCATACATTAATTATCAAGGGTAAAAATGAAAAAAAAAATTAATGTCATTGATTTTAGTAAAATGATAATGAAAAAAAAATATTGACAAAACGACTATGAAAAAAACGGAGGGAGTCCTTATTTTTTCTCCAACCACCTATGTGAAGTTAATGTTGCATTTATGAGGGTAACATATTTTCAACAATATTATTCATCCATGAATTTTTTTTTCTTTCCACAATATTCATTCAGGAATTATGATACCAAAAAGACACAATTTACTTAAAAGTGTGATTAAGTGAAGTATGTTACAATTCACATATGTATTCTAATAATCAATGCATTAATTTATGGACTTCTCAAAAAGCGCATAACAACAATAAGTGTACACAAATCAACAGTCTCAAGACTTGAATGCAAAAAAAATAAAAATAAAATAAAGGGTATAACAAGAAAGTAAGTAATAAATATTTTTGAAAACTAAAATATCAATCATTTCCTTAAGTCTCATATAAAAACCTTAAACGATTATGAAAAAAACGGAGAGAGTATTAATCAACATAACAAAAATATCCCTTCAAAAAAAAACATAACAAAAATATGACGTTTACTTAAGTCTATGTTTTTTTTTTTAAATGTTACATATATTTTGATTTAATTTGATTGAGAATATTTTAAGATTTTTTTTTGGTAATGCGACGTATTTTGAGATTTTTTTAATAATGAGAATATTTTAAGATATATTATAAAATTAACACAAGAATTCACAATGTGAAAAAAAAATATTAACCGAAACTAAAAGATATAATCAAAAGTTGATTTTAAATAAAAATATTAGAATCCAAAATTAATTAAAAAAAATAAATATAATTACCCAAAATCATATTTTGTCCATAAAATAAAATATGAAATTATATAAAATATCATGTAAAACATGCCTATTTCTATCATTTTCAGCTTTCAACAGTTTATTTTTTAACTTTTACTAGCTAACTCTATAAATTTTATCAAACATATGCTAAATGTAATATTAATAATTGAGTTTTAGGTGGTGAAAGAGGGAACCTGAACGTCCTTAGAGAAGCGTGAGATCAAGAAATTCTCAAATTCTTGCAAGCTGAATTGCTTAGGGCGAGCTGGTTCCAAGAAATAATTCTGCAGAAAGTCATTTGTACCCATACTCATTATATACAATGCATTTCTTGTTATGAAATCTGCTCTTGCTTTTCCCACCAATTTTCTCAAGTGGATCTTATAATGCTCAAAATACTCCAGCTGTTTTGAAGCAGACAAAACATTCTGCACTTGCATCAAATTAATAGACCCCAATTAGTGACCAAAACATTAATTCAAATATTTGTCCTATCTTGCTAATCAATTAGGTCATAGAATTAATGTACCGAAACTTCAGCAGTGTAATCATCAAAACCTGTGGCTGCTGATGCAAAACTAGCACCATATGGCAGATCTTCTGGCTTCAAATTTGGGTCAAGAAAAGGTGGAATCACTTTTCTGTACCCCACTGCTTCAGCTGCATATAAATGTGTGTACAAATATTGATTCTCAATAGAATAGAATGATAGATAGATTTCTTCTAAAGTCAGCAACATGTTAGCTCTTTGTGAAATGGATAGTTTAATTACTGTATTAGTTTTACGAAAAGTAGTCTAAACTGATCATGTCCTTTTTTTACATGTTATGTAGAAGAATAATGATGTAGGACACCATGTTATTTGACACTGAGAGAATAAATATATATAAACATAATAGGTGCCAAAAGGAAAAAGGATGGATAAAAAAAATAAATTAAAAAGTATTAAATACATAGTTATATTAAAACAGTATTCATTCATGGTTACCATAAAAAAACATAAAATGATAAGCTCTTGTGATATTATATATCAGCATCCAGCAACACCGCATTAATAATACCTGAGATATATATGTCTTCACCTAATAGTAGTTAGTCTATGTTTTTGACTATTGTTATGGAAGTCTTTATGACTAGTAATCTAAATATCTACCATTGTCGTCTCCCTTCTTTTAATTAAAATTTGAATTTCATGGCAAGGTAGGTAAGTTGGTACATAAAGTCAATTTAGATGATTTTTTTATAAACACATTTATAAAGGAATGAAATAAAGTTGAAAGGACCTTACAGCTAACTTTAACAAAGTATAGAGAAGTTAACTTTAATGTAAACAATCATACAGTATAAGAGATAAGATATATGCATGTTTCGAGAGAGTATGCAAGTAAGTTTTATAAATGTTAGTTCACAAAGTTTATCAAAATTAATTAACTCGTTATTATATATGTTTACCTCTTAATTAAGTAATAATGACATAAGAAAGTGAAAATTAAGAAATGAAAAGAGGGTTGGATGGATGTGATTTTACCAATGAAGTCAGTGGTAAGTCTTCCATTACTAAACCTTCCTGTTGGTTGGCTGTTAAAGAAGTCTTTGCCATAAGGAAGAAAATTGCTTTTCATAGTGGTGTGAAGGGCATTGTTGTTTCCAGAATCAACACTTGAATCACCAAAAACAAGGATGCAACTCACGTTATACTTAGCTGCTAGTTGCCTCACTAGATGAATGTCCACAGCAAGTGAACATAATGGCATCATCATCATGGTCAGTGCTAGTATCATCATTTTCACCATTTCCATGAGCACCTGGTAATAAGAGATAATAATAATAATAATACAAGTTCAGGGAGTTCAGAAGTGAAGTCTCTTATTCCCAAGTGTATTGAACATTGAATCCCATGCATATATGATTCTTTAAATACAGGGCGTAAAGATGTGACGTGGTTGTTGGAGCATTTAAAAAACGGTTCCCTAAATTAAATACAGCATTTAAAGCTTAAAACTACTGCTACCAGGCCTCCATTTTAATTGGAAAAGAAGAACCTAGCCAACACCCACGAACTCTACTTGTTTAACTCCAAATGTAATTGTGATCCAGACTTTCCCCTAATATCACATGTTCACTCGTCGACTTGTTTTTGCTGTTAATGTACCAAAATGAAATCTTTATCATTTTTATCAACTTCCACTGGACTATTTTGTTTGCTATATACATACTGTACAAGTTTTGGTCAGATGATAAGAATAGAATTCTACCCATATTTATATAGGGAAATGATATTTCTATAACGTTATTTATTTATTTATTTTTGTCTATTTTTCTCCATCATATTATTTATTATATTTTAAAAAGAGATAAATACAAAAAAATATTATACAAATTATTATATGAATTTTTGTGCTATATCATTACTTGTGTGTCATATTGTTTTGTTTAAATGATTTAAGAATAATTTTAATTTGATTGTGTATTCTCATAGGTCTATGGTGGACCAACTATGTGTGCTTTAGTAGGTTTTTAGCCAACCTTTTTCATCTCTTAAAATCCGATCTAACCAATTTTTGATTTTAGCGAAGAGATTGCGTAATATGTCCTATAAGTCTATACTTGACTGACCATTTTTTTTATTACAAGATGCTTACCAAACTTATAATAAAAAAATCCTATCTATTTACTTGGTCCATGGTGTAGTTTAATTAAAACACGAGATAAATATATGAATTGACAACTATTTTATAAGATAATAATGAATGAATATGTTTCATATATGTGGAACAAAAGATAATGGGGATAAAAAAAAATTCTTAGACCATGATAGAGGGCCGAAAAATCAACAAAGGAAGACAAACAATTAGGTTAAAACAAAGGGATGTCCCAAAAAAGGTAGAGCAAGAGATAAAAGTAAAAAAAATAGAAGTATTTTTTGAGTGCTCTAGTACGAGATCAACTTTGTTGTCATAACAGATTGTAACAGTTTTTGATCTTTTTTTATTAATTTGGCACTTAATAAATTGTAAGTAACAACTATATGTATTTGATATAAGTACATGTGTGTATAATATTTTGATGGATTTAACAAGTACAACTATTTCATATAGGTATATATATGTGTACAATATTTTGATGGATTTGATTTGATTACTTTAAAACGAATGGTGCACTTTAGAAGATAAAGAATAATAATAATTATTGATTAAAAGTTTAATGATAAAAAATTGTAATAAAATCAAATATATGTATATTAAAATTATAAAATAATTATAATATTTATTATTAGTTTTTTTAATTACAATAATTATTATACTTTATTTTTTAAAGTAAAAAAGCTAAATTCTTTTTTGATACATGGTTTTGGTGTAGGTTTATAAGTAGTTAGTGGATAAAAAATGAAAATTAAAGTTGTTACAGTCGTGCAAATACCGGGATATATATCTAGCTAATATCTATTGTCATTCTATATAATAGTATAATGTTAATAATAACTATAGTAATTTTTATCGACGCATTTAATTGATATTTGATTTTTATTAATTCTATGTTTGATAAAGAGAAAATAAAAAAAAATATTAAAAAGGAGATAAGAAAAGTGTAAGGAAGTGTAGAAAAATCGAGTAAAAGTAAAAGTTGTTTCATAAAAGGAAAATAAAGCAAAAATTGATTATAGATAATATAATAATAATAAATATAATAAAAATATTTATTATGTTTAAATAAAATTATTTATAAAAATATATATATTTATTCTAAACAAAATTATTTATAAAAATAATCAACTTTTATTCTATTTTCTCCTATTTATATTTTATTAAATAACTTTTATTTCTACTTTATTTTCCTACATTCCCTTACACAATTCTCTTCTCTCTTTTTCTCTTCTTTTCTCTTCCATTCTTTCTTCTTTACTAAACAATTCTAAAGTTCACAACTCATTAACTCTCGTTCACAAGATATGGGAAATGAAGATTTGAACTTGTCTCTTCTCTTTATGGTAGCCTTTAGACCATTTGCAATGTGTACTAAATTTATACCTGAACGGTGTTGACAATGGTCTTCTCTGCTATGTAGAAAGAATATATGTAACAATTAATTATTAACTGATTATTACAAGATTAACAAAAGTTAATAATTAAATATAACAAAAAAATTAACATATATAAAAGAATTAAAATTTAAGGACTCAAATATTATAAAAAAAATTTCTAACTACTTCTAACATCTTTCAGATGTCAAATTGGATATTTATTTTAAACTAAATAATTTAAAAATTATTGTAATATATTCAATGAACTGTTGTATTATTATTATTATTATTATTGCAACCGTTTTAATATTTATTTTCCTTGCATCGGGTAACACCCTTTGCTGTTAAATGTTAATATACAGTAAAGGTAACGGATCAAATTAATTTTCATTTTTGTAATGAACAAATCAATATTTATTCAATGAAGTTATTAAGTAAACGAATCAAAGTTAATACTTTTACTTTTATTCAACTTAAACACTTGAAAATCCCTCTAAAAAAAATTGAAAATCAAATTATATAAATTAAAAATTGAACACAAAAAATTAATGTACGGAAATTAATATTATATTATTGAAATAATATCCAAATTTAATCTTTTGATAAAAACAATCTTTAATCAGAATTTAATTCTTGATTAATTTAATAAAAAACTTTATGAATGTGATGTGAAAGAAGAAAAAAAAAAGTTATATACTAATGAATGATGTATGCTCCTCAAAAAAGGAATGTCTGTCCACTGTCCTTTTGGAGATTAAGTGAGATTATTTACGACATAGTGGTGGCCTTATGGATTTTGAAAAAACATGCTTCTTCATCTGGATTTTTCTGTCGTCGTTACTTATTTGGATTTCTGGCCTGTAAAATAAAAAAAATTACTTAAACACTTATAAAAATGTTTCTATTATTAAATAAATTCTTTCAAAAAAGCCTGAAAGTCTATGGTTTAACTCGTATATAGGGATGATAATGACTCAAATTGACTTGAAAATAGTTTAAAATTTGATTTGATAATTAACTAGTTAAATTGAATTAATGAATTAAATAAACTAAATTTAAACTAAATATTGAGTTTGATAATAAAAAATGAGCCAAAATTGAATTACGTATAGTTTAACTTGTTTGATTATAAATTAATGATAATAATAATAAAAGAAGTAAACACTTTAATTTCATGGTTATGAATTCGGTTTTCTATTATTATATGTAAGATTTTGATTTAAACAAATTTTAGTTGTAATTATCTTTCTTTAGAGTCAATCTTGTAATCTTGCAAAATTAACAAAATAAGTTATATTCTGTCTTTTAAAAATAATTAAACAATTATTTATCTAAATCTATTATTTAATTAAAATTTAAAATGTATTAGATTAAAAAAATTGAACCTTGGTTCATGTGATTTGGCCTAGTGAACTAAACCGAATTACTAACAAGCTTGAATCGAGTTGAGTTTGAGCTAGAAAAAAGGTTCATATTGAACTTGAGTTAAACTATGAATTGAGCCAAATATTATTGAATCAAGTCGAGTTGAACCAAGCTCGATTCAGCTCAACTCATTTTCAATCTTACAATCATGCACCTAATGTTAGATATGTTAACTAGTAACAAATAAAAAGTTAAAAATGTTCTTTGATATTGTTTTAATCAAACAGAAAGACCAACCTATTCTACATTTAAATACCAAATTTCAAGCAAATATCTACAAGTAAATATCCAATTTGATCTCTAAAAGATGGTAGAATTAACTGATAGGTCTCTAAATTTTAACTTTGTTATGCAAGTTAATCCTTGCATTATATTTAATTACTAACTCTATTAATCTTGACCAGTTAACCGTTAATTGTCATGTTGATAATTATTCTCTCTCCCAATTGATTGTTCTATCACTTAATCATCTAATATGGGTCATAATGTAAGGTTTTGATACTTTCTACTCAACAATGAATACTTCTTCATGTATTAATATTCTGGTTGTAGGTGTTTTGGTTAAAATTGGAGGTTGTTGTTAGATTTTGTAGGGTTTCTTGTAATTGAATTTTTCTATCTTATTCATCCTTAATTTTTTCATCTGTTCTAGCTATAGGTTTAAGATTGTAAATACTAAATTATTGAATTTGTGGTTTAGCGAAATGAGTGATCGTTCTGAAAGATCTCAAGTAAGGATATATTAATCGAATATGGGTGCTTCTATTATATTTAAAGAATCACAAGACTCATATAGTAGAAATGGGAAAAAGCGTAGTCACAAAATCTTGTATTATGGTTCATATTAGGTGATTAGGAGAGAAAACAACTAACTCAAAGAGATAATAGGTGTCAATATGACAATTAATTGTTGACTAGTCATGACTTATGAGACAAACAAAGTAATAACTAAGGGCTAACTTGCTTAATGAATTAAAAAAAATTTGACCTACAGACCACGAAAATTTGAACCCATCGACCACCTTTACCATCTCTTAAAAATCAAATTGAGTGTTTACTCAAACCTTTACTATTGGCTTTGTAATGTAGGTTGTGGTAAATCGGATAATTGTGTATATTCAAATATCAAAATAGTTAATTGTTTATACTAAATAAAAAATGGTTTAAATATGTTTTTGATCTATCAAATTGAAGGAAATTTAATTTTAGTTTCTCAAATTTAAAATTGGTCTTTTTAGTCTTGTAATTTCAGAAAATTTTATTTTAATTCTTACACTCAAATTTCGTTAGAGAATTTGTCAAACATTATCACTTAAAATCTATCAATCAATATATATCTCTGGTAGTAAAAACTCAACTGATTTTGCATGTGTCATTTTTAGATATATATTGATAACTCGAAGGACTAATACAAAATTTTTAAAAATTACAGAAACTAAAAATAAT